CGATAAGCTTGACCCCCTGGCTGAGCTGGGCTCCGGGGTCCTGGAGGAGGCCAGCGGTGCTGGTTCCCCCATCCAAGAGGAACGGCCCCCGAGCCCCGTCACCACAGGTCCCCCAAGAGGTCTGAGCCCCAAAACGCTTCAAGAGAGTCTCTTAAAGTCTCTTAATGAACTCCCGGAGGGCCGCCCGACCAAACCGAGCGCTCTTCCAAGAGGAGACACCTGGGTTCATCAGCTGGAAAACGAGTTGGACAATGACGGAATGACGTTTAGTGGCAACGGAGTCACCGAACTGGAGACCCGCCATGACTTTCTGTTGCGCAGCTCAAAAATTGTGGATCTCCACCTGCAGGAAGAAGAGGAGGACATTTTTCAGGCCCAGGGTTACCTTCCCCTCTCACCACAGCCAGCCAGACCTCCAGAGCCTACTCTGGAAACTCTTCCAGCATGGAGTGAAACCTTACAGGAGAGGTGGAACGGAAGCTCCAAACCTTTTACCCACAAGCCCAGGGACGTTCAGGAGGGCAGTGCCACGGGCCCGTCCCATTGAGAAAGGACTGCTGCCATGCACTGTGAAGCCAGCCAAGTCAGAGACACTAACCCCACGGAGCATGGACTGATCTCCTGTATAATCCAATGAATTATTTTATTTTTTACAGGTGCTTCCATTTATTAGAATTCAGTGTTATGTATTTTGTAAAAAAAAAAATATATATATATATAAATATAAAAATTTAGAGGTAACGTATTGGATGCATCTTAAATGTTGGGTTTGGTTTTAAATCTCAAGTGGGAAAATGCCATCAAGGTAAGGTTTTAATATATTTTTAATCAAAAAGAAAGAAAGAGGTTAAAATGGTGAAACCATTGCATTCAGTTTTGAATTAACCACATGCAGATTGTTTCCCCAAGATATTTGATGCACTTTTGTTTCATGTTTCTCGACTTCAACGCATTCTTCAGTCTCATTTAGACATAAACAACTCCATGTTGACACCAACACAAGTCATTATTTGTTGGATTCACGTTCGATAATGAGTATTGTTGTTCTCCTCTTCTGTTTACTTCAGCTTATTGGGTTTACTTTACACTTTACTCTATAAAACACAGCTTGAACATGTTTTATACACTTGGATTGTGGGTTTAATGGTTTGACTTCTTGGCGAAATGTTTTTCTCACAAATTTTGTATAATTTGGTCCATATAATGCAAGAAGGGCATTCACTGTATAAGTGCTTTTGTCATGGATGACTCTAACGTTTTCACTAACCCACAGTAATTACTTCTAAAGTAGCTTGTTTCATTTGTGAAGAATGTGAGATGGGCCTTTATTCAGAATGTTATGACCATTTTTGTCTTGTCTTTTAGAATTACAATGTCTAAACTAATTTTTGAAGAAATAGTTTGAACACGAGGTGACCTTCCAAATTTGCAAATATTACGTTACTTTTTAACCAATGGTGTTGGAACAATTCTGGCTTCTGGAAAGCCAAGAAGCTGTTTTGAAATAAAAATCTTCCAAACATTTGTTTCACCTACCTTGTGCTTTTAACTTTTAAGTTTATTTTTAATAAATTAGAATTTACAATGCAATGAATTTACATAAAAAAAATGTAGGACACTGCAAATTAAAGTTGTATAGCTTTTTGTAATGTACAATAAACAATTTTATAGTTAATGTTCCTATCTGGTGTAATTTGGGTGTGGAAGGTGCGTTTCTGCCTTCCAGAATCCTACAATGATACGGAAATTAAGTACAAAGGTATGTCCATATGATGAAAATGCACTTTTTTTTCCTTCTTTCATGTGTGTCATGCTTGTGGACGACTTATGATTAGTTTTAAAAAGTTGCCTTATAAATATGTACACTCCAGAAAGGCAGCAGAAAGCAGTATTTAATTTTATTATTATTATTTAACCGTATACTCTGGCAATATACATTTTAAACAATTGCAGTGGTAATCATTTATTAATTTTAATACAGCTTTTAAATTGTGTAAATTAAGATTGTAAAGGATTCAATCTACTTGATTCCAGGCACGTCCTGATTTTGCCGAGTTAGACGCATTCCTAGGCGAACATATTTTGTTGATCCTGGAACAACATTCCTTTCTGAAAATGGCACAGTTTAAACCCTAAGCCTAATTTGAGGTATTTTCAAATATTAGACATTAGGCCTTCCTGCAGTGAGCTTTTTTTTTTACACGCTGATTTTAACGCAAGCTATGTTGTTCGTTCGTTTATTATTTACAAATAGGCCTACAAGTGTTGTTGCTGAAGCGTTAATCTACCATTAGAGGGCAGCACTATAGTTTGTCTAAACCTGGAAATGATCTTAATTTGGTTTTCGTTGCTCAGTTTTTCAAAGTATCGTTTTGCTGTTTTGGATTTTGGATGTGGGATGGTATGGTTTTAATACATTTTTTAAAACAATGCAATGAAAAGTCTCGGCTACAAAAAAAGCATTTTAATAACATCACGTTGTTGAAAAATTCATTATCATAATATTTAATCATATTTACGGCGATCTGAGAAATGTAGATGTAGTAGACGAATCTGCCCACCAGGAGGTGCCACTGTAATTGATTATTCCACAAATTAATGGGAGAGCGGGGACGACAACCTAACGCTTTTTAACTTTCTCAGTTGGTGTAACTTAGGGTACATAGTATTTATTTTTCCCCACATTATTTTCCCACATGTCTAGTACAATTATTTGGTTTTGTTTTATTTATACAGTGTATACTTTTTTAGGCCAACCCCAAAACAATGGAAGTGAAATGTGACAACGTGGCCCACATTGTAACGTGACCATATGACAGCTTAAAATACTATCTGATCTAATCAAAAGAAATATACAAGACAAGCTAAAATATTTTCTCACTAAAATATAATTATTAACGTTTTCATACAAAATAATGGCCTTTTTTAATAATTAAAAATAAAATAATTTTTGAGTTTGACAACAAACACACCAGAAAACACAGCTATACAACATAGTTCAAAACATAATAATGATTAATAATTTCTGAACATTGACTCTCAGTCTTTATTCACCTTTTTCCTCATGTTTTGTCAATAGAATTCATAAAGGTATAGAATAGAATAGCATAATTCTATTAGGGGCCCATTGTAACGAAGTGATACAACGTTTCCCACCTGCACAACTGGGATTTAAACCCTGCTAGTGTCTTCTGCTAGTTAGCGAAGCATTAAAGAACCATATCAACTGTTAAATAACATATTGGAGATTAAAATAATATCAGATTTGTCTAACTAATTTAAAATAAACACCAAAAATAGAGATGAAAAATTAACATAAGTAAGAAATGTTTTGCTATGGTTAAATAAATGTTCAGTGATATCTTCCAAAGATTTTTGAATTTTGGAGCAATTTTTTCTCTATATAGTGTTGATATGGCAACTAGTAAATACACTAAGTTTCGTCTTGCTAGCATGTGTTGAAGTATTTAAAACAAGGGTGTTACAACTAGCCCCGCGTTAGGTTGTGCCCCGCTCTCCGTTATAACTTAAGAAGAATGTGGGAAGTTATAAGGGGTGGTTTGCTTTCCTCATCGGATGACACAGACATGACTAGGACAAAAAACATTCCTGGAAGAACTATTTAACAGTGATGCAAGATTTTTGTAGGTCTACCTGAAGCTACAATAAATTTTATATACAATATATTTTATGATAATCAACATGCTTCTCACAGACTTTCATTACGCTGGACAAACAATGGCACATGCTCATTCTACGACTTTTTCAGTGAGGGTGGTGATGAACACTAAAAAAGAGTGGCATTGTCCATAGACATGGGTCAAAGGTCAGCTGGACACCTGGATGAGAGAGACCCCATGAGGAAGACCATAAAGTTTAGGTTTGCCTCTATAAATACACCTTTGTCTAAGTGACAAAACATGTTTTAGAAGTTAGTTTTTATTATTTATTAATACATTCATTATAAACGTATATATTTGCAGATAAAGGACTCCACTAATGAACCATGTAAGGGAACAGGTTTTGCTGAAAATGTTTTTCTAAAATTGTAGGCTACATTTATTCACTTCATAACTTAATTTCTGTCAACTCCGTCAGACACATTTAAAAAGCAAGCTATTTTAATTTGATTCATCCAACAACAGTGTAAAGTCTTCAAATATGTAATAGCACACTGGTGTTCAGTAAAGAAGCTAAGTGAAAAAATTCTCTAAATGTTTTCCTGGGTTAGGGTTATAATGAACAATCCAGTTCCCAAATTCCTTAAATCTCTGCCCTCCTTTTTAATATTAAACATGACCAATGTTTTTAGGTAAATCAAAATACAAAACTTTCAGGACTATGAGATCCACAATGAGCATCAAACATGGGGCGGCAAATAAGAAAGGGGTCCTCGGAGTTAAAGATGATCATGACATTGCCTGACTTATTAAGAATTATTAAAAAATCCTGACGGAGTTGACGCAAAGTGAGGACACAGCTTTGATAGGCATTTTTTATGGAAAATATAATTCAAGATTTACTTTTTGTATTGTTTGATATATTACCGATCTCTTCCTTTCAATTTAAATGTACATTTTTGAATTTGTTGCACTTTTAAACACTTTGTTTGGCAGTTTTACATTGTGACCTCATGCTGAGGACAGGTTAAATGACTTAAGTGTATTTAAAATAAAATGAAATTATTTAGAAATAAAAAAGCAATAAATGTCCTGATGTTGCAGATTAGATGTAGCCTAACTTTTTAAGTATTTCTTTGTATTTTGATGGATTTCTTTATTTTTAGTAATTATAAAGCTTTTGTGTGACATAGTTGTCCCTTATCTCAAGAAGCAGTGATATGTATAGGCTATGTATGAGCATCATGTGAGAAATATTCGTGAAAAATAGCGATTGACGACAGTTTTAGAAACAATGGTATTTGGGAAATACATTTCCCAGAATGCACCTGGCGAGCTCCGTGGTCACCCCCTCCTTCATCAAATCCGCAATCTCGAATCTCACACTCACTGTCCGTGTCGAGGACAACTCACTACCTCTGTCTGTCTCTATCGCTAGTGTAAGTACACTACTCTACATTCAATTCACTCTTCATGCTGTTTATTAATGTTATGTCTCGATATTTTAATTAGAGCTTAGAGTCGGGCTGAAAGAGATGTGTTGTGAATGAATTCAATGAAAGAATCAGTGTGTGGACTTCTATATTTCTCTAAATTAAATTAATTTATAAAGTCGTAACTTCATAAACTTTAGGTCGGTAATTAGTTATATTAGATAAACAAATAATTCTGGCAGGTTGACATGGTTTTAAAATGTTCTTGTAATGTTCTATCAGTCAGTGGTCTGTCGCACGTTTACTGTTATTCTTTGTCTTCCTCGACCACTAATCTACCAGACAGCAGCTCGACTTCACAAAACAAATGACAGGCTATGTAACGCTGTTTATGTTGCTTCTTGAACAGTTGGTAAGCAAATACTAATACTTGTTTTTCCCCCCTTGTTTTCAGGATTCAATCTCTTCTGAATCATTCAACTACAAACAATAATTTCAGCACTATGACCAGAAATCAATTCCTCCTATTTATATTAACATGACATGAATTGAACTTCGTGCTGCTACACTTATAGGTGAGGCAGCATATGATATGACCACTTTCAGATTTATTATGATGAGGAATAAGTAGAAAAACAGTTGGACAGCTGTACAGAGGGATCATGCTTGGAAGTATAGTCTTCTTTGACCTCTTAATTGTGTGTCTGTGTAGTCTAACTTAATTTATAATTAAATTATAGTTCTAATTTCATTGACTCGAAGCAGGCAAAATGACTTCATATAACGATGAGCCCAGAAGTGATATATCAGAGTCTCTGGAAGTCTGTGAATTCGAGGGACAGTACGGAGATCCGGGTGGTTCTTACAAATCCAAAAGCTTGCCTGTTCTTAATGGCAGCTGTCCGACCGTCAATGAGACGTTGGAACCGAGGCTGGTTAGCACGACACAGACTTTAGTAAACACCGACCAGTGCTTGGTGTTCAACGAGCTGCGGCAGAAAGGAGACTCAAGCGAACTGGATTCACCCACCAGGACTGATTTTTCCCCTTCCATCTCCAGTATGGTGGGTCTTAGTAGCTCTATGAAAACTGAGGCCAACCGAGCTGGTGGCAAAAAAATAGGCTTTTCATTGGCAAGATTCATCCGCTTTCCTGTGAGGAAGTACGTGAGGATGATTCTGTCAGACTCTAGGTGTTTTCTATTCTGTATGTGTTACCTGACGTTCATCCAGTCATTGATGGTCTCTGGCTATCTTAGTAGTGTCATCACCACTATAGAGAAGAGATACAGCCTTAGAAGCTCTGAATCAGGACTGCTGGTTAGCTGCTTTGACATTGGAAGTCTGCTGGTAGTGGTCTTCATTAGTTATTTTGGGGGTCGAGGCCAGAGGCCACGCTGGTTGGCGGTAGGTGGGGTGTTTATCGCTGTGGGGGCAGCTCTCTTTTCCCTTCCACATTTTATCTCTCCACCCTATCAAGTCCAAGAGGTCAACTCTTCCACGGGGAATGAGGGCCTGTGCCTGAACGGGAACGGGAGCAGAAGGGACGGTCTGGACGTGTCATCCTGTCCACGAGACCAAGAGGGCAACGATCACTCCATGTATGTTGCCCTTTTCGTCTGTGCCCAGGTCCTGGTGGGCATGGGATCCACTCCCATCTACACGCTGGGACCAACGTACCTAGATGATAACGTGAAAAAGGAGAATGCATCCCTCTACCTTGGTAAGAAACTTCTTTGTAGTTTTGTGCCATAACCTACTTACTGTGTACATTACCTAGCTACTACTTGTTGATCACAGGGTCACCTTTAATATCTAATATATTGTAACATTGCCATCAATCCTTTTTTCTGTGTTATTATTATTTTTTTAATTAAATTTCTTTAAACAAAAATAAATAAATATTATATTATATATACACACACACACATACACACAGTATATTCCAAAATATATAAAAATGTACAGTATAAATATTAAATATACACAATTGTTTTAATTGATCTGGTTAATTAAATATATATAAATATATATAAAAGAAATATATATATATATAAAATATATAAAAAAATGTGTATATATATAGGTTCAAAATCAAGAATCCTTAAAAACAAAGGAGCTTAAACACCAAAGGGGCTTCATACAAATTCATCAGCATGCTCAAATCACAGGGTGGAAGGAATGGGATTTGGAAAAGATTAAGGATAAAGGTATATGTAACAGAGGAAAGAACAAGGGTCATGTGATCATGTAAAAAAAAAAAAAAAAAAATGAAAGAATGGTTGGAAGGGAGCATGAACAATCATTTTTACACACGAATTGGCACCTCTGAGTCCAGACCTTAAATTCATTGAAATTATTGGGATGTGCTTGAGTAAACTTTGTCAATACAAAAAAAAAGCATTATCAATTCAAGATCTTGACCAAAAATTGATGCACCTCTTGATGGAAATAATAGTTCACAACATTTATTTGGTGGATATGGCCATGATGTGTCTTCCTACATGGTTGTTTAAGAAATGAAAATATATACACACTCCAACAATTAGGTTTAGAATAACTGTTATAACATAATAGAAACATAATAATCACTGCAATGATGACCAAATCATATTCTCTTAAGCACATTTTTTTAAATTGATTAATTTTTATATATATATATATATATATATATATATATATATATATATAAAGGTGCCAATTCGTGTGTAAAAATGATTCTTCATGCTCCCTTCCAACCATTCTTTCATTTGAGCTTGATGGACATTGACATTGTCATCCTGGAATATGGCCATGATGTGTCTTCCTATATGGTTGTTTAAGAAATAAAAAAATGACATACTCCATCAATTAGAGTTAGAAGAACTGTTGCCAAACATATAACATGTTACAAACATAATAATCACTGCAGTAATGATCCAATCATTGACTCTTTGCATGTGTCTATTTAAATCCAAACAGTGACATTTTTGTTTTGGCTGGGCAGTATATAAATAAACATACACACACTTTTTTTTGGTGATTTAATTGCAAGTCAAGGTTTTTTTTTTTTTTTTTTTTTACATGATCACATGACCCTTGTTCTTTCCTCTGTTACATATACCTTTATCCTTAATCTTTTCCAAATCCCATTCCTTCCACCCTGTGATTTGAGCATGCTGATGAATTTGTATGAAGCCCCTTTGGTGTTTAAGCTCCTTTGTGTTTAAGGAGACTTTTGTGGAAGAAATGCTTGGAAACAAATGTGACATCCATGTTAAGTAATATTCTTGTTTTGGTTTTATTCAGCATCACAGTATTTTCAACGCCTTAAGTCATAACCATCAAAATATGAAGTATGCAGAGAGTGTGCCCAGTGACAGGTTTTGACATAACAAAGCTGCTTTAGTTGTATGATTGATTGGGACGGACCAGTGATTTTGAATGTTATAGGAAGACCCATTTATCTACAGTTTGGTGAGTAAGTGGGGCAGTGACGGCCCTCTGTCTGTGGCACCTCTCGTGTCTGACTGTGTTTTTCCAGCGTCTTTCAAAGAAGCACAGGGCTGATCTAGGAACAGGGTGGGGCCTTTGTGATGGGTGATAATGCTTCAGTGAACATGCACACAGTCTTTGGAATAAAGAGCACCCCATTATAAAGTACACATGCTGCAGCCTTAAAGTCAATGTATTGATCACCGCTTGCATCACCTGAAGCTATTCCAGTGAGCGTGATGTGAGCTAGAGAGACAAAACAACTGGCTTTTCTTTGTATTTGCACGCTACATTCTGACAGCCTGGGGTTTTCATTCTCCCGTGAAGCTTTGCTTCATAGCTGAGAGAATTTTCTTTTACTATGTTGATGACTTGGTCTTCCTGATCTTGTATAAAGCATTACATAGGTTGATTAAGATGATAAAAAGGCAGTTTGCAGTAGTGTAATTTGTTTTTAAATGTTTTTTTTTTTTCATTCCTGATTTACTGTATGATTGCTTTACCATGTGCTTTTCTTTCTATATGATATTTTAGATAAAGTAAAATGACTGAATTATAGGAAAAAGTACATATATTAGACTTTTGGTAGAGACTCACTTCAGAGACTGCAACTAACTGACAGCTAATAATAATATATGAATCATAAAACAAAGTACCATTATTGTGTCAAAATTTTGCCTACTTTCTTTCTGGCATCTCACTTTTCCAATTATTTCAAACCCCATCAGAATTTGTGAAAAGCACTTGGGGCAAAAAGACAAATTGAAATCTCCTGTACGTTGAGAGCAGGGATGGAAATAAGCACCCGCCACCAGCCAAATGCGGGTGATTTTGTGTTGTGGCGGGTAAACTCGCTTCACCTACCGGCCACCGTGGCGGGTAAATAAAAATAGCATACTGTTTCACCCGGACGGCGGACACTTTTAGAGGAGGCACACCTTCAAACAAAAATGTGGCGTTACATCGCAGGCGTAGAGGTCTGCAGAGAAAACATCATGGTGCGTTCACACCAGACGAGAATAGAGCATCTGGCGCGAGTGATTTCATTGTTAAGTCAATGCAAAGACGCGTTACGAACGTAAAAAATTCCTGCGGCGCGAATGAGGTGTAGAGCGCGCCGTGGTAGATGCGAATACGCCTCATTCGTGCGGCAAGTTCGAGCGTCTGACGCGTTCCGCGCGCATGATTTTATTGAGTGGTTTTGTGCATTCACGCGTTTGACGCGAATTCGCGTCTGCCGCCCGAGTTGAAAAATCTGAACTTTGGCGTCAATTCCCGCCGCGTTAACCAATCAGGAGCCTAGCTGCTGTCACGTGGTGAAGTATCTGGATGCTTCAATAAATTATTTTGTACTAAATGCCTGATGTGGTTCTAATGCACAACAAAGCAAATATTTTATCACATAAAACTTGATTTCAATATATGAGACATATTCATTTTGTATTGAATGCTATTTATTCCATTTCATATCTAGATTATATTAAATATTATTCTAATGTAAAGGCAACCAACATACTATAGCTCATAAATCCGTGTCTGGAGAGAGTTGTGTGAGAGAAAAAAAAATCACAGGACAGGTTAATTACTTTTGGAGGCTGGCTCAATTTATCATCAAAACAAAAATAAATGGGTGAGAGAAAGAGAAAATGTCAGTATTTCATTGAGACTTGAGATTAAATAAACTGCTTAAGTATTCTTGTAGTATTAATTTTCACATGCAGTTACACATTGTCGGTTAAAAACAAGAAAGTGGCTGGTAAAAACATTGAGTGGCTGGTAGATTTTGAAATCCACCAGCCACAGTGGCCGGTGGACAAAAAAGTTAATTTCCATCCCTGGTTGAGAGGAATTGGATTGGAATGTTTGCTTCGTCCTCAGCTCTTGTTTGAGCTGCGCACACACTTGGATAGTGTCGCTTAGAGCCGTTATACTTCCCTCTTCACATGGTTCAGGTAGGGTTTATCATTGCAAAACATGTTTATTCTCTTTTCTCTGCACGCTTTCATCTGCCGCCTTTTACCTGTGGTGTCTGAGTTAGTTGCGCTCAACGGACAAGGAGTCCCAATGAAAACAGTTACATACCACAAAATCCCTCAGGCAAATTCATTTTAATGAGCTGAAGTTAACCAAATCCACCGCCTCCTTTTTCTGACACACTTTCACAGACTAAAGCCGACCCCTGTTCAGTCGGCACAGTGAGGCTGACATGAAGAATGACTTGAGAATAGCATTGCACACTAACCTCTTTACTGAAAGACGTTGTTCGGCCAAACATAATTTTTTTTTACTGTCATACTTTTGCGTTTATGCTTTTAGCAGATGCTTTTATGCAAAGCAACATAAAATAGAAGAACATAAGCAATTAGTCTAAGAGCCAACAATATTCATAGTTTACATATTTAAAAAAATTACAGTTACAATAAATAGTAGGCCTATACATAGTAAAACATATTTATTTACTCGCACACAAAAGATGAATTTTTAAGAATATCCTGACTACTCTTTTTTTTTTATCTCCAATAATGAAAGGAAAAAAAAACCCCAGCAAATCAGTTTATACCACTTGAGCATTTTATTCAGTCATCTAGGCCAGAATATTCATCTAAAATATCAAATTTTGCTCTTTACAGAAAAAGACATAGAGATTTGGAATGAAGGTAAGTAAATAATGACAGAATTAAAATGTTATGGCTGAACTATGCCTTTAATGGTTCTTCATTTGAACAATGGATAGAACTTTGACCCTCAATTGGTAGCTTGCAATTTCCTCTTAGGTGGCAATTCATTAATGAAGCGGGGGCCCAGGTGTTTCTTTGTCTGATTTACAGCTTATCGCTGCTTATGGACTGCAGTCAGCCGAGGGGGTCAGTTTTGATTGGATTGGTTCTGTGTGCTTGAGTGTTTGTTGCCAAATGCAGAATGATGAAGTAATATTACTTCAGTAGGCAGCTCTGCAACTTTAAGCTCTGACACTATAATAACTAAGGCATTATTTCTGTTTTGGCTGTTGCGCTTTTTGTCAGAGATAGTTAATGCGCTGACGGCTCCCTGGTGGGTGAGCAGTTTTATTTGTGGTAGTAATTGAGGAATACTGCGAGATGCATGAAGGCTCTGTTATATTGGTATGCTGTGCACAATATCAGGACGCCCTGTGTTAAAACACCTACTCTGTCAGCCCGCTTATGTTAAATTTAGAAGGGGGTAACAGCTGCTGCATGTTGTGTGTGCGTATGTGAGAAGGAGAGAGAC